AATTGCAATATATGGGTCTTTCGAAACTTCGTGGACAATTTGAAGACCTTGTAATTGACAACGAAACTTCGTGTGAACATCGAGCATGTGTGCTGAAAATGATAGCTTTCCGTATCCGCCATTTACAGTTGCACTACTCTCCATCCGTTCCTCATGTAAATATCATCACATTAGAAACATCATTTTCCCTATCGTTATCTACGCTAGACGGGTCGCGATCGAGTACTTGTTATCAGTTGGATGAGGCTCATCAGTACCTCCTAGACGGTGAGAAAATGCAGGGGTCAGCGCCTCATACGGATGTGTTGAAAGCAGCGGTACATTCTACTAAGCTGGCCAAGGCTTGGCTCAAGGTAGACGCAGTGTTGGAGGAATGCATGGTCGCTTTCCTCGAGTTTATATACGAATTTAGGGAGGAGTGTGCAGAAATCAATGAAAATGTCCTAAAATTTCTTTGACGATTTGCATATTTTTTCCATCCGCTGAGTGCATCCGATGTGAGAATATATATTTGGTTTCTTCCGCTGAGCTGATAAGTTTCTTCGCTGCGTCATGAAAATTCGCCCACGAATTTGGGTATGAATGTACGAAAAAACCAACGATAATTTCCCCAAAATTTCCATATTGTTACCAACACATGTAGTTGACTTCGTGCATATTCCTCCTCACATTTATAATGTTAGCCCTATGCCGTGTCGAATGAACTTGCCCACTGTAGAAGGACACCAGTATGCACCCATGAGTTCCCTAGTCGGGCGGCCGCTATACCTTCGCCGATGATACTCGCGTGTTGCACTCGGGAAACCAGGCGTGATAACATGTTTACGTGAGTGTTTCCAAGACAGGCTTCTTTGTTGTAGTTGGAAAAGTCTGTGGATTTTTTTGTGAAAAAAATCAACTAAATTTTACATATACCTTTGTATGAACTACTGTGACTTATTATAGATCATCATTGAATGATTGTCGGTGATTCCTTACAGTAGAGTTGAGCGAGCTCGAAGATCCTCTCGCAAGGATTCCAGAGCCATCAATTGGTATGATGGAAGTCGACCTAGTGTAAACCATGATATATTTGAGCACTGTAGAGGAGAGTCTCCACTACAGTGCTCGAATATATCAATACTCTCCCCTGGTGGAGAGTATTGATATATTCGAGCACTGTAGTGGAGACTCTCCTCTACAGTGCTCAAATATATCATGGTTTACACTAGGTCGACTTCCATCATACCAATTGATGGCTCTGGAATCCTTGCGAGAGGATCTTCGAGCTCGCTCAACTCTACTGTAAGGAATCACCGACAATCATTCAATGATGATCTATAATAAGTCACAGTAGTTCATACAAAGGTATATGTAAAATTTAGTTGATTTTTTTCACAAAAAAATCCACAGACTTTTCCAACTACAACAAAGAAGCCTGTCTTGGAAACACTCACGTAAACATGTTATCACGCCTGGTTTCCCGAGTG